TCCTTTTTTTTTTTTTTTTTTTTTTTTTTTTTTTTTTCTCTTTTTTTTCTTCCTCTTCCTCCCCACTACTACTACTACTACTACTGCTGCTGCTGCTGTTGCTGCTGCTGCTGCTGCTGCTGCCTAGATCATAGTCCCATGCATTCTCTAGGTCTTGTCTATTACTCCTTGCTATAGGGAAATGTATATAAGGAAGAACAAAGGATAACTCAGAGACAGGAGAGAAAGAAGAAGAAAATAAACATAAAAAACGATGATGATTAGGTAATAATAATAAGGAGGAGACAGTACGAGGGACCCAATGCATCTGCATGCATAATCATATATATATACACACACACAGCAGTAGCAGCAGCAGCAGCAACTGCAGCAAGAGCAGTATAAATGCAGCAAGAGAAGCAATCGCAGCAACAGAAGCAACAGTAGTAGTATCAGCAATAGCAGCAACAGCAACAACAACAGCAACAACAGCAACAGCAGCAACAGCAGCAACAGCAGTACCAGCAGCAGCAACAGCAGCAGCAACAGCAGCAACAGCAGCAGCAACAGCAGCAGGAGGAGAGTACCTGTACAATCATAGGTAAGAATGCTGTCTCCATTCTTAGATCCTTAGGAGACAGTCCCCTTTGTGCTGCTGTCCTTACATTAACAAAATATAATACTTTTTCTGTCTATAAATACATAAATATACACACATTAATTAATTAATTAATTAATTTATTTATTTATTTATTTATTAATTAATTAATTAATTTATTTATTTATTTATTTATTTATTTATTTATTTATTAATTAATTAATTAATTAAGAAATAAATAGACAGGAAAGGCAAAAGGAGACAAAAGGAGAGACAAAAGGAGACAAAAAGGAGACAATAAAGGAGACAATAAAGGAGACAATAAAGGAGACAAATAAATAAATAAATAAATAAATAAATAAATAAATAAATAAATAAATAAATAAAGTCCCTTATTAACAGTAAAGGATCATAAGACAAAGAAAAGAGACAAAAAAGGAGACAAAAAAAGGGCAAAAAAGGAGAAAAAAAAAACAGGAAAAAAAGGAGACAATAAAGGAGACAATAAGGAGACAATAAAGGAGACAAAAAGGAGACAATAAAGGAGACAATAAATAAATAAATAAATAAATAAATAAATAAATAAATAAATAAATGCAACAGCTAGCCACTGCAGCAAAGGATAATAAGAAAAAGAAAAGAGACAAAAAGTCTCCATCTTATTAAGACAAAAAAGGAGACAAAAAAAAGGGGCAAAAAAGGAGAAAAAAAAGGAGACAATAAAGGAGACAATAAAGGAGACAGTACCAGTCATTTATTGGATGCAATAGCTAGCCAATGCAGCAAAAGATAATAAGAAAAAGAAAAGAGACAAAAAGTCTCCATCTTATTACCAGGAGACAATAAAGGGGTCAAAAAAAAGGAGAAAAAAAAAGGAGAAAAAAAAAGAGACAACAAATAAATAAATAAATAAATAAATAAATAAATAAATAAATAATTACCAGTCCCTTTTTAGAGGCAATAGCTAGCCACTGCAGCAAAGGATCATAAGAAAAAGAAAAGAGACAAAAAGTCTCCATCTTATTAAGACAAAAAAGGAGACAAAAAAGGAGAAAAAAAAGGAGAAAAAAAAGGAGAAAAAAAAGGAGACAATAAAGGAGACAAAAAGGAGACAATAAAGGAGACAGTACCAGTCCTTTCTTGGATGCAATAGCTAGCCACTGGAGCAAGGGATCGTAAGAAAAAGAAAAGAGACAAAAAGTCTCCATCTTGCTGCCACTTTGTCCATAACGAGCACCAACAGGTAACTCTATTAATACACGAATTATAAATATATCTATTTCTTCTTCTTCTTCTCCTTCTTCTCCTGCTGCTCCTGCTGCTGCTGTTGCTGCTGCTGCAGCAGCAGCAGCAGCAGAAGGGGCAGCTGATGATATTGATCTACTACATACTCCTATACCTATACCCTTCCCTGTAACACATATAACAATATACAAGCTGACTACCTAGCTAGCTAGCTGGCTAGCTGGCTAGCTGGCTAGCTAGCTAGCTAGCTAGCTACCTGTCTACCTAGCTAGCTAGCTGGCTAGCTAGTTAGCTAGCCATACAGACAGGCAGCCCCACAAGTCAAGAGCAGAGGTGCAGAGCTAGCTAGCTAGCTACCTAGCTAGCTAGCTAGCTAGGTAGCTAGCTAGCTAGGTAGCTAGCTAGGGAGTTACCTTGGAGTAGGTCTCTGGCTGTGTGTCTCCCTTTCTTCTCTCTCGAGTACAGGAGGCGTTTGGAGACAGAATTGCTGCTGCTGCTGCTGCTGCTGCTGCTGCTGCTGCTGCTGCTGCTGCTGCTGCTGCTGCTGCTGTGAGGCTCTTCACTATCGCGGGACTCTTGTCTATGGCGTTGCTCCTCTTCACAGTCTACTTCATCCAACTGCTGCTGCTGCTGCTGCTGTTGCTGCTGCTGCTGCTGTTGCTGCTGCTGCTGTTGTTGTTGCTGCTGCTGCTGCTGGTGGTGTTCTTCTGTGTCACTTGCTGCTGTCTCCATTTGTTTGCATCGCCAGAAGGGCTGGAGGGGATTAAGTTGGGTGCCAGGTGCTGCTGCTGCTGCTGCTGCTGCTGCTGCAGGGGAAGGAGAAAAGGAGAGCAGCACGGAGAATTTCTCCCTCCATGCTAGCAGCAAACCTCCTCCTGGCTGCACCTCTAGATGATCAAAGAAGCCTGCCCTTGAGGAAGCAAATCTATACCTCTAGCATGCATGCACAGACATAACAAATGCTCTCTGCATGCAGCAGCAGCAGCAACAGCAACAGCAGCAGCAGCAGCAGCAGCAGCAGCAGCAGCAGCAGCAGCAACGTACTTGGCAAGAACTCTGTGGTGAAGATCAAGCACAACAATCATACCGCAAGGCAACGCCATGCCGACGAACCATTGCCCGCACTCACAGTCTGCTGCTGCTGCTGCTGCTGCTGCTGCTGCTGCTGCTGGTGAATCTAGAGACAGTAGAGGAGGCAAGGGGACAAGAGGCAATCGGCCATTAGGTTGTATTTGTTGCCTAAATACACCAACAGGAAAATCGCGGTGTAGCTGCCCTACAGACTTTGCTGCAGGAACTGCAGCAGCAGCAGCAGCAGCAGCAGGATAGCAACAACCCTCATTGGTGCTGTTGCTGCTGCTGCTGCTGCTGCTGCTGCACTGCTGCTGCACATACACCCCATTAGTTAGCTGCAGTGAGCTATAAGGAGAATACTTAAATACTACATGCGCATAGGCGCTTCTCTTAAGACTGCCAATAATATTGTTGCTGCTGATGCTGCTGATGCTGCTGCTGCTGCTGTTGCTGCTGCAGTTGCTGCTGTTGCTGCTGCTGTTTTTCTTTGCTGCTACAGGTGTCTCCTTTTGTTTTGTTTGTTTCCTCGGCCCACTGGATAGGCCATTGCCTCCCATGCCAGTGGCATCCGACTCCTGCTGTTGCTGCTCCTGCTGTTGCTGCTGCTGCTGTTGCTGCTGTTGCTGCTCAGCTGCAGCAGGAGATGTGGTTGCTTCTAAATCCCGCGTCTGCTGCTGTTGCTGCTGATGCATGCACTCTGTAGTCCCGCAGCTGCAGGTTGCTGTTGTTGCTAATGTTTCTTTTGTTTCTTGTTGATCCTCCTGCTGCTGTTGCTGTTGCTGTTGCTGCTGTTGCTGCTGCTGCTGCTGCTGCTGCTGCTGCACCTCACGTGCTGCAGCAGCTGGTATCTGTGGGGCTGCAAAAGAGAGACAATTAAGGGCAAGATCAAGAGAGAGAAGGGAGACACAGCGCAGCACTTTGCTGCTGCTGCTGTCAATAAGGAGACGCAGCGGGGGACTGCTGCTTAATTGTATAACTAGATCTAGGAGACAGTAGGGCCCCACAAATGGGGAGACGATCCCGGGATCGATGGGATCGCGATCCCATAACTCCTCCTCCCTATCTAAGGAATATAACCATACAGGGCCTCCTGCTGTCTCCTGCACTAAATCCTCTGTTAACCTGCTGCTGCTGCTGCTGCTGCTGCTGCTGTTGCTGCTGCTGCTGTTGCTAGTAGAGGGGGTACGAGGGGCCCCACAGGTGGGCCCCTCCCATTTATCCTGTACCCAACAAGAGGACAGGAGCAGCATATGCTGCTGCTGTGTCTGTATAAAGGAGACACGCAGCAACTTAATAGATAATAAGCAACAGGGGCCCCCCAATAAATTAGTACCTATAAAATCTAATCTGCAGACACGACGAGGATAATGTCTCCTTATATGATTATGTCCTCCTGCTGCTGTTGCTGCTGCTGCTGCTGCTGCTGCTGCTGTTGGCGCTGCTGCTGCTGCAGCAGCAGCTCGTGATGGGACCTCGGCTGTGGGGCTATGGGCTGCATGCGGATGTGGGGTGTCTGATGGGGCAGCTGGAGACTTGGGGAGGTGCCTGGTGCTGCTAGGTTCTGCTGCTGCTGCTGCTGCTGCTGCTGCTGCTGCTGTTGCTGGTGCTGGTGCTGCTGCTGCTGCTTCCAGTGGCTGCAGCGCCAGCACCTCGACAGCCCCTGCTGCATCTACTAAGACAAGACAGCGGTCATCGCATGCAAAGGAGACAGAAGTGCAGCAAAAGGGGCGACTAGTTGCTGCTGCTGCTGCTGCTGCTGCTGCTGTATCCCGCCACCCAGAGCACTGGCGGCAAAGACCTAAGTTGCACCTGTTGCAGCAGCAGCAGCAGCAACGAATTGGCAGCAAGGGGGCCCCATCTGCAGCAGCAAGGGGGCCCCCAAGACATAACTCCCACATAGGCAGCAAATATCTTGTATCTAATAAAACTATGCTGTCTCCTATATGCTGCTGCTGCTGCTGTTGCTGCTGCTGCTGTTGCTGCTGCTGCTGCTGCACTGGTTGCTGCATTTGCTGCTTGTTCTTTGGCAGGTCCTCACACATATCTGTTGCCTCATCAGTAGCTGCTGCACCAGCAGCAGCAGCTGCTGCTGCTGTCGTTGTTGCTGCTGCGTTTTCTGCTGCTGCTGCTGCTGCACTGTCACTCTTCTCCTCCTTATTGCTGTTTGCTGTTGCTGTGTCTCCATCAGTCTCCATATCCTCAGGTGTCTGCATGCATGTCTGCATGCATGCATGGGTCCTTCCTTCACCCTCTGCTGCTGCTGCTGCTGCTGCAGCAGCAGCAGCAGCAGCATCTGCAGCAGCAGGGGACCCCACCTGAGCAGCATCAGAGGGCCCCACACCTCTAATTGTCTTCTTCTTAGGGGGCCTCCCTACTAGTCGTCTCTCTGTCTTAGGCATTTGCTTCTTAACAGCAGCAGCAGCAGCAGCAGCAGCAGCTCCTGCTGCTGCAGCAGCAGCAGCAGCAGATCTGCTTCTGCATATATTTTGCTGCGATGCATCATTACTAGATGCTGACGAAGCATTGGGGGTATCACATTGAGGTGTCTCCGCTGCTGCTGCTGCTGCTGCTGTTGCTGCTGCTGCTGTTGCTGCTGCTGCTGTTGCTGCTGCTGTTGCTGCTGCTGTTGCTACTGCTTGTAGCTGCTGTTGTGGTGAGGTGTATTGGGTTGTTGTGGGGTGTGGGGTCGTGGGATCGACCCCCGCGTCTCCTCCCTTTGAATTACTGTTGCTGCTGCTGCTGCTGTTGCTGCTGCTGCTGCTGCTGCGTAGCTGTGGGGAGACAGCAGCTAATGCTGATGGAGGATAAGGAGAGAGACAAACAGCAGCAGCAGCAGCATTAGCAGCAACAGCAAAACATCTTATTGCTCTTCCTCTTGGGTCCGCATACACCCGAGTTAATACACTAGGATTAGACCTACCTATAACAGGCTGAATGCAGCAATCCATCTTGCTGCTGCTGCCCCTGCTGCTGCTGCTGTTGCTGTTGCTGCTGCTGCTGTTGCTGTTGCTACTAAGGTGGGGGGTGGCGAGTAGGGGGGAGTATTGCTGGTGTTGCTTCTGCTGCTGCTGCTGTTGCAGCGGCGGCGACGGGGAGGGGGACTACTCTGCTGCTGCTGCTGCAGTAGAAGAAGAAAAAGCAATATGCACACAAGCAGCAAGCTGCTGCTGCTGATGCTTCCAGCTGCTGCTGCTGCTGCTGCTGCTGCTGCTGCTGCTGCTGAGGCCCTCCCCTCAGGGGGGGGTTCGATTCTTCCTAATTGAATACAGCAGCAAACTAATAAATATAAATTAAAAAGAAGAATAAATTGCTGCAGCGCATGCAGCAGCAGCAACAGCAGCAGCAGCAGCTGCTGCTGCTGCTGCTAAATTGTTATAAGTCTTATACAACCACCGCGGTGTCCCTGGGGGCCCCCAATAGGTAATAAAACAAATAAAACAACAAAATAAATAAATAAATAAATAAAATAAATAAATAAATAAATAAATAAATAAATAATAAGTATAATTTATATTTAATTTCCTTTTTTTTATTCATTTATATTCCCTGAGCAGACACTGCAGCAGAATGAGCACAAGGCA